AGAAACTATGAAACTATACACACACACACACACTCTGTGTGTCTCAGTATAATTCACTGAGGTTTATTTCATTTAATGGTCCTGCACATTTCTGGGGCAGCCTGTTAAAAAAAATTATTACAGCTTGGCTTTTAGATGCCTATGCCTGGTTGTTTTTCACTCTGCCTTAAGAATGGCATGATGGATGCCTCTGAGTTGTCGATGCTGCCATAAAATTGGCCAGACCTCACTTATAGCTTCAAATAGCTTTGTTTACTAAAAAAAGGGCTTTGGCTTATATACACTCTCACCCCTGGCCACCCTAGCATGACTGCTTGTCAGTTAATCTCCTCTGCTTCAAAGATGCCCATAAGAAGCTGTGTGCTGACTAAAAATGGAGCCATGGTTTTCTTAGGCAAGTAATTTTTAACTCAGTAATGTTGTAAAAGCAGCTGAGGCTGCCAAGCCCTCACTGATACTTTCTTTGAAAAATGCAACATAAATCCCTTCTTTCATATCTTCCTGCGAAGCACGAGAGAGAGATGGGACCATGCTTTCATTGCAGGTGAGGCATTGCTCTCTTGGATTAACTCACAAATTTGCTTCAAATCATTCATTCCTGGGCAGCTCTGTGCATGCCAAAGCATCAGGATTATGTTGGATCAGATAAAGATATCTACATAGTTACTTAATTTACCCAGAATCCAAACCAGTCACCCAACGCTAGAGGCCCTGGAGTTCTCTGGAAGTTCGTATTTGCTTTGGATTCCTGTGGTTTGATCCATCTCTTCGCTCATAAGCCTTCTCTGCATAGAGTGCATGGATAATAGAGCAGCTCCTCTGTGGCTCTGCAGATTTACCTTGTTTACACACACATACACACACACTCATATTCAGGCTAATGGCACGTAACAGGCTTGGCTCCTGCTGCTTGGGAAGCAGGCTGAGGATGAATTAACTTTATTTACATGTAACTGGATTTTCTACAAACAATGCTAAGAAAACTAAATCCTATTTAAAAAAAAATCATGTGATGAAAGCTACACTGTAAGATGTCCACTCCAAGAAACAAGATGGTAAGATGCTGACAGTGAAGTGTGCGTTGAAAGACTGGTAATGCGGATGCCTCTGAAAGTATTAAGTACAGTCTATTCTTGAGCAGACTGGTCTGCGTTTGAGTTTCTGTTAATGCTTGATGGAGGAATTCAGTGTTTCAGAAGCAATCACAGAATCATAGAGAAGGTGGGGCTGGAAAGGACTTCCAGAAGTCATTTAGTCAAACCCCCTACTTGGGGCAGGATCATCCTTATTCAAACCATCCCATAAAAACCACAATCTAAACTCTACATAAGACTATCATCAACCCTGACACAGCACAGACATAACATCATAACCTGCCACAAATAAAGCAGAGGAACTGTGGGAGCCAGTGTCCCACTTCTATGAAATGTTGTAAATATATGCTCAAAGGATCCTGGATAGAGGGCCATGCCCTCTGCTACAGAGGAAGGCAAAAACCCCCATGGTCTGTACCCATCTAAAAATCTAAAAGATCATTGGCAAATTTGGGGCCAAGAAAATAGGGATACATTCTTCCAACCACAAAAACTGAACACAATAATTTATTTTAATTTGTAAAAGTAATCTTATGAATGAAATGTGACCTGTGGGAAGGGCTTGTTCTCTTTTTTTTAAGGGATGTCATCAACATAAAATCTATTCGGTTAACCTTCCCCCCGGCCCCCAATAGATTAGAATAGTTTCAGGTACTATGCCTGCCCTGGAATCCCCAGCCCAGTTTTATGATTGTTTTACAACCATACCTTCTTCATGGTTTTTTTTTCCTTTCTTGCTATCAGTTAGAAGAATCCCGTTTCACTTGGGTCTCACAGAAGAGGAAAGTAGTCAGGTAAGTTTCACTTCCTGAATATAGTCTATTTCATTCTCCTGGGGTTTTGCTTTAACTCACTAGTTGTGTTTGGGAATATTTACATCCCAAAACAACTTCTCCCCCCACAAACTCTTCTTTTAATATTAGGAATTAATTGTTTAATTTTAGGCTACTTTTAAAAAGTCCTTCTTAAAAATTGTGTAAGAGTGATGTTGTAGTCATGATGGTCCAGAAATCATGCAAGAGGCAAAGAGATGCAAGACATTCGAAAAATTGTCTAACTGTATCCCAGCTCCACAGTTGGTCCAATAAAAGATATCATCCTAGCAAATCCTTGCTTCTCATGTCTTTTTTTTTTAAAGGACATAGCTTCTGACCTGCTAACAGTACTTTTTTAAACAACATTTCTAAGCTTTTGCCCATCGAAGCTCATTCTGTAAGTATTGAAGGAATGGAGGATTGTAATCAAGACCTTTAAAAGCCCAATGAGCTTATGGAGTTATGGCCCAGAAATATACAAATACTAGCTTTCTTGTTGGCTTCTCTGAACTACTGTCAGTGCTGTCAAAGGGTGGTGGCAGATTTCCCTTTGGAAGTGAGAGCCTGCTTCAAACGTCTTTTTAAGTCCTGCATATTTGGAGACTTGGGTCGGATGAGGTGGAGCCCTCTTCGTTTCTCCCCATTGCAGCTCCCGATCATCCTGCTGAGCTCCTGGCAAAGATGCTGGAAGGCCTCCTGCACTCCCTCACAGTTCTCCCGGGCAGACACCTCACTGTAAGTGCCCCCCAGCTCGCTGGCCAGCTGGAGGCCTTCTTTGGAGGACACCTGCCTAGCTCGCAACAGGTCCCCTTTGTTTGCCATCAGAAGCAGAGGAATGTTGGCATTGGGGTGGATCTTGCGGATGTGCTGGTACAAGGGCCGGATGAGCTGGTAGCTGTTGTAGTCTGTGATGGAGTATACAAACACGAAGCCGTCTGCCCAGTAGATTGAGCGGTTTATTTGCTCCTGGCAGCAGATGTTGTCATTGTCATCCTGCCACCAAAACAGAGAGGAGAGGTTAGAAAACGGAGTGGAGGAAGAGACAGAAACAAGTGATCATCCAGCACTAGTAGCAGGCAATTGCTCCGCTTCACCCTGTGGCTGCTGCTTCATATAGGGACAAAGGCATCTCTGGATGCATCAGCTACAGAACAAATTTCTCTGGTGTGTCAATAGATTGATTAATACAATGGAGCAGCACAGATACTAAGGCAGAGACTCGGCAGATGTTAAGCAGTTAAAAATGGTCAAAGCATTGATTTTTTTTTTTAAAGATGTTTTTTGTTCTGTGCTGTTCTTGTGCTAATCAGTATTCAGCAGCTGCCCCGCTGTCAGGGCTGATAAATGGAATCATAAAGGTTAGAACGAGAGCCTCCCCTCCAAAAACTGTTAGGTCAGCTATTCTAATCCCACTTATCTAAGTGAAGGATTGTCCCCTACAGGACTTTTCCTAGTGCTTTTTTTCAGTCCAGTGTTTAATGTTTCTAACAAGGGGATTTTACAGATTCCCTGTGGAGGTTCTTTCCCTGTCTGCTAGATCTTGCTGTCAGTATGTTTCTTGTGCTATTTGGGCTCAAATTTACTTTGGAATGGATTACTTTTTCACGTGACTGATTACTGGAACTAAAAATAAACAGGGCCCTGTTGCTGCTTACTCTCTCTGAGAGGTAACAGAGCTCCTAATTCCTGTTACCTGCCTTTTGTGGCATATATTTCACTGTCCAGTTGTGCGCATAGCTGCATCATTGCTCCTAACCAGATACAAACAGCAATCACCAATACATAGGAATTCAGTGTGTTGGGAGATGAGATCAAGTCCCTACTCAGGATGAGATCTTTTGAATTAATCCATTACTTTGTATATCCTCCTTGGGCTGTGACTCCATAGATAGGGAGATCAGCCTCATGGATTATTGTCTGGTATGCTTGGATTGATAAAATGATCCTGCTCGTATTACAGCAGAAATTCTTAACCTGGGTGCCAATGCACCCAGGGTGCTGCAAGATCCTTTGAAGGGTGCCACAAAAAGTGTGATGAGATAAGTGAGGAGGTAAGCAGACAATGGTGGGCCAGGATCTCTTTGTCTGGCCCTTCCCCTGCCCTCCCCCCCACCTAACCTGGCCCCTCTGCAAGGAGGTAAGCACTATAACAAATGAGCTTTTGAAATGGGGGGTGCCACCCAGTTCACAAAAGTAATGGAGGGGAGCCTTGAGTCTAGTGAGGCTGAGAACCACTGTATTACAGGCTCTTTGGAAACAATATGCAAGTCCTTGTAATGTCTTTCAATGCTAGGCACACTCAGGTGTTACTGAAGCCAAAGGAAATTAAAAGCCCTTGGAGCCTTGCCTGCAGTATCCAGCCACATCTTTTTATTACTGGCTAATTCTATTCTGGAAACCTTACACAACAGCAGCTGGACATAGGGCAGGCATTTTGAGTCTGGTCCAAAGCCCATCAATGCTTGTGGGCCAATATGAATAACTTTCCCTATACAAAATGGTGTTGAAGATACTCAGCCAGCAAATTGGCTGGAAGGAAGTAGGACTTGTAGGCCAGACCCAGCCTAACAGGCTGGATGGGCTTTTCCTGAAGGGAAAAAAAAAAAAGAAATCTCTCCAAAATAAAGCAGAACCCTAATGATCTTCCTTGCCAGTAAGGGCATGCCTGTGCTGTTTCCACGGGGCTCCTGAGGGTGTTGTAGAGAAACATGTGCAATCCACCCTCTGCAGCTTTCAAAGGTGGAGACAAGGCAGTGAAGCTGCCTTGAGAGTGTTTGTTGCTGCTTTTGAGATCTGTCTCCAACAAGCGTGAGAGCAGGGGTGGCCCAGGGCCCTCTCAGGACAGCTTTGCTACCTCATTTGTGGATGTTTGGTATGCATGGAGCAGGAGCAGGTAGGCTGGACATGATTCTCAATGGTTTTCGCAAGCGTGCTGGGGAAGTGGTATAGACATAAGCCACTCTCCTGTCCTATCTGTCACTCAGGTGGTTGCTCTCTTTTTCTTTCCCTCCTGCATGAAACACCTGGAAAAACACTGACCCTTGTGCTTACAGATACTGTCAAATGAAAGAGCAAAGCATTGTCAGAAATGTTCAGACTTGGATGAACGAAGTTAAGACCCTTCACCCTCCCTGCAGCTTCCCTTGACTTCAGTCAGATATGTTTGTGCTCAGCACTTCCCCAAAACAGTGCACCTAATTTTATTTAGGCACCTAAATATAGATTTAGGCAGTCCAACTCTGGGCACTTGGGGCGCAAATTGATGGGTAAAATGCATTATGCCACAGCTGATCACTCGGGCAGTAAGAGAACAGAAAGCCGTGCTTCAGAGGGAGAGTTTTTCCAGACCCATATATAGTTAAAGGCCCAGCGTCAATGGGAGTTCAGTACCTAAGTGTCCTTTGTGCCTGTGAAAACCTTCCTATGGGTTTCAAACCCTGTGAGTTTGGAGGCTGACTCAGAAAATGTATTAGTCCTCTGCCCCTTCCAGCTCACATCGCCGTCATGCTGGAGCCCAAATTATCCTTGGATGTCTCTAGCGCTGGAGTAACAGGTTGCCCAGAACCATATCACCATTCCAGTGGCACCCTGGTACTTTCTTCCCTGTGTATTAGGGGTTACTGGATTTATGGACCACCTCTGCATGGAATAAAACTTTCAGGTTATTAGAACAGGTCCCTACTTATGACTCAGAAATGAGTTTCTGGGTCTAAATTCAATTTCTAGGGAACAGGAAAACCACACCTAGAATGAACAGATCCTGACTCTGACCATTTCACTTGAGATGAAAAGAAGTGCTATCTCCCCTGATGCTTCAGAGCAGCCCACTGGCCTGGCATGGTATGGGGAGAGGGGGGCCCTTGTAGTATTACTGTCTGTATTAATTTGTCATCCTTTTATGTCCCTTTGCTCCCCTTCCACCATAAAATTATTTTTTGGGGGGGAAATAACCTAATTGCTATAAACAAATATTTGAAAATGGCCTTAGAAAAAAAAATGTACGCAGAAAACTTCAACAAGCAGAAGTTCTCAGTTGCTACAGCTGGGCCCAGACAGCAGTGAGGTGGATGTGATAATCCTCAGTGGAATGCTTTATTCAGGAAAATCAAAGAGTAACAAGCTATATTTCTGTTTTATGAGAATGTCTCCTAAAAAAATGAGTTTTGAAACATGCACTGTTACCAGCCTTGTGTGGTTCAGGCTGCAATTAATCATCAAACAAGCCCAGTTATCTATTTGCTTCTGGTTTCTTTAAACATTAACATTTCCGGTGTGGTTGGAATCTTGAGTAAATGCAGAAATCACTGCACCCAGCTCCCAAAGTGCAAGCAGCTCGCTGCTGCTTAAGGATCTAATCAGAGAACACATAAACACGGCCTAGTCCAACACGTTCTCATGCTTTTGATGGCCCAGTTCAGCTACAAACCCTTAAAATCACTTCATAGACATCAGTTGATGCAAACAAGAGATTCAAGATAAGCAGCTTCTGTGGGAACTGTTGAAACAGGGCAGGCCTTTAACTGGGACAAAGGACATGAAGCTCCCCCTAATGATATTAAAAACAGGGTTGGATGAGGTGCTGGGGATCACAGTTGAACTTTGGAGAGTCCAGACCTGCTTCCAGGGTCTGGATCTGGTTAAAATATGGAAATCTGAAAATGTATCTTACATCTGAGGAGAAAGGGAGAAGTAAATGTTCCTCATTCCTCTGTTGTGGGGAGGGAGTGAAAGAGGGATTCTCTTTACAAGGTGCTTATCATGCTTTCCTGATGACATTACCTAATTCCTGTCAATAAGGTCAATAGACTTACCTCCACACCCAGGTAACACAGATTCTACCAGTTAAATCTACTTATTTTGAGGTTAGGTGGGGCAGAAGAAGTTTGACAGACTCCTACAGTCATGAATTACATTGTCTGAAAGTATGAGAAGCTAGATTTGTTTTATAATATTTTTTAGTAAACCAACTGTGCAGTTGGTGGAGATGTTAGACACGTCTTTGGACACAAAATGCCCTTCGTCTGGTCTTGGAAAGAAGCTTAAATACCAGTGAAAGCTGTTTAACTCCATTAACTTTGTGTGACAAGTACCTTCTGGCTTGGATAGGATAGCTCTTTCATGCCCACTGGAAAATCATGAGTTCAACTGAACTCAAAACTCTGCAAGTTCAGGCTCTGTTTATCTCTGGCAGAAATGTAAAGTGCATGCATTTTTATTCTTGTTTTGCTCACTTAGGAGCTCTAGGAGTAGAGCAAGAATTCCTTTCAAAATCAAATACTGTTTTATAGTGTGGGCTTCTGCCTCATTAGAAAAATACACGCTTTTAAAATTATATTTCTCTGGGGAAAATGCTGGTTTAACCATTTGATGATTTTGCTCCCCTCCAAAACCTGACAAAGCCTCTAGCATGTTTTTGGAGGTTTCATGAAACATAAGACATGGCTGGTTCCACTTTTGCTTGCTTTTTGGCAGGGTAAATAATGTCCTATGTAGAATGACTGGCAGACACCCCCCCACCCCCACGTGCTACAAGGCATCAGAGAACAACGAATATGATTAGGGCTTTTGGCTTTTCATTTAAACCAACTTTTAGCAATCAGAATGAAAATGGAAACCCAGGGTGCATGAGGTTTCCTTTTCCAGTTCTAGAAATTTCAGGTGGGCATGTGCAAATTTATCAGGATCTTTAGGTGCTTGACTTGATACAGAATGAGGCAGAGAATGTGCATTTCTGGGGGGCCAGATCTGTGTTCATTTAAACCTGAGTTTTGAGTGGGTTTGAGGCCAAACCAAAGTTATGGCTTTTGTCTGACAATGATGAAAAGACACATAATTTTGACCCAAAATCTCATGAGATATGTATCATTCAAGGAAAGAAAATCTCACTGAATTAACAGGTTCTGTGAAAATGTTACCATCCTGTTCTGCCTCCAGATCGGATCCCCTAGAACAGAACCCCAGAACCTCTTTTGGATCTGCTTAGAAATTCACTTGTAGGGACATGATTATAGCCACAAATTATATCTGTTATTTCCTGAAATCTTGTGGGGAAGTGCATGTGAAGAGGGTTATACACCCCAAGCGCCTGAATAGAAAAAGAGGGATGACTACAGACATTAGAAGCACCCTGCTAGCACTTCGTATAGTTGCTATAAAGACTTTTCCCTCAGAAAAAAAAGGGCTGCCTACAGAAAAGAGATTCTCCTTGGAGGACGAGAAGGGTCTGACCTGAGCACCTGGGTCAGGCACTGGGCTGTTGAGAACTTTCTGCTCATTCAGAGACAGGAGCGCCTGGGCAGCAAATAGATCAAGCCAGCAATTTTGCTTCTATTCAAACCTGGGCTGCACAAAACCATTTATTATACACTTGTTCTGGCTCCCTGAAGGGGCGATTTTTGGTAAGACAGAGGTCATCCCAGTGGGAAAGGTCACACTTAGAGCTGAGTTTCTGGCTCAGACATATCTCTTCTCATGGGGAGAGTTACACATTGAAGAGACACAAATGTTGGCAATGTTGAATGCAGACATTAACTGTGTTCTAAAGCTGGATTGTCCAACTTCTAAGCCCCAGGGGTCCACATCAGTCGTGGGGGGCACCTGCTACACAAGCTACCAGCCCAGGCTCAGGCCACCAGGTTGTGCACCACATGGACGCTCCTCCTATTCTCTGCTGCACCCTGTGCCCAGGCTGGCACCTTCCCTGCATCGCTGCACTGTGTGGACACGATCCCCCCCTGCACCCCCATGCAGAGCGCTATACTGCCCTGCTCCTTGGAGCAGAGGCAGGAGTCAGTAGCCAGAGGAAGGATGGGGAACCCAGATACTCAGCCTGTGTTGCAGCTGGAGCAGTGTGGGAAGCAGTGGCCTGGCAGGAGCCCAGAGGGTGCAACTTAACCCCTTGTGGTCCACACGGGTCAGACAACACCTGTTCTAAAGTACAGATACATCAAGCAGAGTTTTTACCTCCAGTGAGACAAAAGGGGTATCCTGCACCTGTAAGGAGATCTGCTCTCCGTCTACGTTGAATTTTCTTGAATACAAGGCTCCTGGTAGAAAAATAAGATGATGAGAGGCAGCACATATAAAGAGTCAGTCCAATCAACATCTACTATTTCAGCTTCTAAAGACGTAAATGGGATTTAGGCACATGCTAGGCCTTTGCAGGGAGGTAAGTTTCCTCCTGTGTTGTGTGAATTGTTATCACAGTAACATCATATCATAACTGTTCCTTCACTGGACATTCATCGCCCTGGGCTGTATCAGTTTTTTTCTTTGTGAGCTATTTTATGAATGGAACAATCAGGCCAGACTATTTTATGGGAGATGTTAAAAAAGCTATAAAATTATTTTAAATGCAGAATCTATTCCTGATGGCAGCAAACACTGGCCTACAGTTTCTCGGGCAACTCACATTATGGCCTGCTCTGTGCCTGCTATGGTCTGGTAGATGCCTCTTTCCCCAGGCCTATTATTCCTTTTGGAACAAGAGAGAAACCCGAGTGAAATATTTGTGCCCACTTTAAATTGGTCATCAATCCAATAGAGTGCCACCTTTTTGCAGTGGTGCTAGGTTGTATTTTTAATTGCCATCCAAAATATCAAGGAAGATATGTTAGTTTTCTATGCATTTCCACTGGAAGTGAAAGAGACAGTATGTCTGATACACAGAGTACTGGAAATGGAGCACATGACTAGATTTTAAGGTGGCAGAGCTGAGGTTTTGGTGTTGGGATCTGCAGAACTTGAGCAGTCAGAGTTTGGTTTGAATGCCCCCAAGCAGGAGTGACTACGGGTCCATGTTCTTCCATTTTATCTTAGCCACTTTGGCTCTCGGGGCAACACCTGGATACAAGTTTGCCAGCTTGGCAAAGCTCTTATCAAGACCATTAACATTTGAGGCAGAGGTGTAAGAAGCAGGGCTGCACCTTGGGCAAACCCTGAGCGGTGGCAGGGAGCAGGGCATGGTTCTGAGAGTTGGGAGTGGCGTGCGCAGGTCTGACAGTGAGGAGGGAGGGGGTCTTCCCCATGTGGGGAACTCCAAAACAGTCCCCAGCTGCTCTGCGGCTGCCACTGCGTGTTCTGCCCTCCCCAGCTCTTGCTCTTAGAGCAGCAGCATCAGGGTGTCAGTGCACTGGTTGCTGCTGCTGCTGCAAGAGCAATGCTGTGGGGCGTCTCTTACTACTGGGCTGCAGACTCCATGGGACTGGGGATAATGTTTGTGCCCCTTCTAAGTGAGCATCTGGTGCTGGTGTCCTGCTCCTCCTCCCTTAGTTATGCTGCTGATTCAGGGTTTGAACTGCAGGTGCAAAAAACGCAAGGAAAGCTTAGGTTCTGGCTGTGTGACACATTCATGGCTGTCAAACCACAAAGTGCCTTAGTGGTTTGTTTCAGCCCAGACCTGGAGGTATCCCCTTGCCAGGAAAGGAGAGAGTTCAGTCTTAGAAACATAAACTCATAGAAAATGAGGGTTGGAAGGAACCTCAGGAAGTCACCTAGTCCAACCCCCTGCTCAAAAAAGGACCATTCCTAAGCAGATCATCCCAGCCAAGGCTTTGTTTAACCAGGTCTTAAAAGCCTCCAAGGATGGAGAATCTGCAGCCTCTCTGGGTAACCTGTTCCAGTGTTTTATTACCCTCTTCCTAATATCTAACCTAAACTTCCCTTGCTGCAACTAGAGACAGTTGCTCCTTGTTCTGTCCCCTGCCCCCACTCAGAACAGTCTCTAGCGCCATCCGCTTTCAGCCCCCACCCCTTCAGGTAGTTGAAGGCTGCTATTAAATCCCATCACAGTCTTCTCTTCTCCAAACTAAATAAGCCCAGTTCCCTCAGCCTCTCATAAGTCATCATGGCTCATTCAGTTATTGGCCTCAGTTCAGACCACTAACAAGGAGACTAATTAGGGCCACCGGTATATCGCCCCTGTAAGAATCATCTCTTAACAGTTGGTTCACAGAAACAGGTGGTTTTGTTCCAATGGAGAAAAAAAAAAAGCTGAGCTCACAGAAATGTCCATGATGTGAGGAAATTTGCCAGGGCAAAGTTCAGTGCATCTGGTCCAACATTAAAACTCTACCTTTTGAAACAGTGTTGGACGAGTAACCTCTCTGTGAGCGCTTCAGAAATAGAGCAGATGTTAAGGTGGAATTGTGCTCTATGGGAAGAGGCCTTCCCCAAAGCCAAACATACTATTCCTGCTCTGTCATGCATAGACAAAAAAGGGGAGGGTGCTTCCAGAAAGTGACTGTGTTCTGCCTTATATCCAGTTGCAGGAGAACAGTCACATGGTTACAGATATATTACCACCCACTTCAGATCTTGTTTCTGCTGCAGGATGACTGTTTGGCTGGTAACTTAATGGGAAAAGCATGGAGTTCTCAGCAGTATCTCTGATAAAGATCTTGCAAAATCCAGGGGTCTAACTCCATTGACAGTGTCTTGTAAAAAAGTGAAGGAAAACATAAGGTAGCAGTTCAAACACTGAGCTATCAAGGCTCCTTAGGGTCAGCGGAAATGGGCAGTCACTCGTCCAAGGGATCAAAAGCTTCTGGTTTTGCCATCCTTATATCTGATTCATCCATCTGAACTCAAGATGCATCTCCAAAACAAAACATTTACAAAGCCTTTAGTTTGAATCCAGCCTCACCCAGTAACTTACCCTATGCTGACTGGCCTGTGTGTGAGCAGTGCTAGTGGATCTTGTATTGCACAGGTCTCTGGCCCTTACAGGGTTCAATAGGTTTGAGATGTTTCCTGCAGGTTATGCTTGAACAACCTAGCTAGCAGACCCAGGACCTGTTGCACTGCTACTGTTCTAGCATTTGGGCAGAGGACTCTAATTTAGCCATTCCTCCCCTCACCCTCCCAGCCCAGCACTGACATACCCAGCCCACCATATAAAACAATTGGCTTGCTTACACACCCTGTGTGATCCCACTGACTTCAGTGGGGTGTATAAGCAGGGTAGCATCCAGCCTCCGCTGTTCAGTCAATTTATAAAGCATTCTTTAAATTCTGCTTTTCAATAAAGGTGTGTCCCCATGTGAATCTTTTTTCTCTGATCCTTTTCCATCAGGGTGGGAAAAAAATGTAGGCTAAAAGGATCATAAATAATGAGACTTTGATTTATTGTTTTCATAGCCGGAGGCAATTAAGTGAAAATATGTGCCTCGTGGACATCTGACAGTGCTTGGCTTTTCTGTACTATGCAGCAGTTGCAAAATACAGTAGTTTGAAATGGAATCCATCTGTAATGCTGCAGGAGGAAGCAGACTCACCAGTATTGGGCTCGTAGTCTCCAATAAATCTTTTAGTGAGAAAGCGCACCACCAGGGCTGCAAAACAAGGTAAAAAGATGGGCCTTTAATCTAAGTTGAGATCGATTGTTGTAAAATGCATATAATGCCTTCCTGGCAGACCTGCTACAGGATCAGGCTTAACTTTTGTCATTGTTGCTTAAATACTACCCTGAATAGACCTGTCTTTATCAATCTAGAAAATGATTCGGACCAGGCTCCAATGCATGACAGCACCTTGCACCACAAGCTGTCTCTTGGGTGTCAAGGGGTGATTGATAGAGTAAAACTATAAGGCTATCTCAATTCGCCACTTGGATTGAAGATAAGAGATTAAAAGAGAGAAAACTCTTACAATACTCTGACTACTTACAATGCCAAACGTAAGATCTAGATTGTGCTATATCAGAGGCCAGACTGATCTAAGGATTCCTTCTGGCCTTAAAAATCTATGAATCTATTAATGTCATCCACTGAACAAATTGCTTGTGGTGTGCACAAAGTGATCATTTTGCAGTGAATTAGGACTTCTCACTCATCTTAATTTGTGAGGGCTTCATGCAGCCTTGGGTTAGAAAGCTGGAAGAAACATTTTTGTCTCTTTTGATCTCCCTTTCAAGAAGTACAATCTCTTTTATCCTAATAGTAACTTACATTTCCATATTGCCTTTCATCCCCACAGATCACAAATTAGTTGGTGAAATTAATCTACTGGTCTGTAAATGAGAAGTCTGATACTGCAAATAGCATTGTCTCAGACTTCATTTATAACAGTCATTTCTGTCACTATTGATATGCTGGTTAACTTGGCTATGGCACTATCTTTGATGAGTTGATTCCTATTTCTATACAAAAGTGGTTTCTTCAAATCCAAATCAGCTACAGACTTTACTGCGGGCTAGTAAGTACTTATACAGTAAAACAAAGTCTGACCCTACAAAATGTGGCCTTGTTGAGAAATCACAAAACCCATGCTCAGAAATTACAACTCAAGTTTCTCTCACTTAGTTTCCCAATCTCCCTGTGGAAAGCAATGTGGAAAATGTCAAGTCTTTTTAGAGTACAATTTCTCCATAGACCTCCAAGTGCTTTACAACAGCAGGAGAAATGGTATTACTTCTGTCTGCATCAAAAGGAAGCTGCAGCACAGAGCAGTGAAGTGACTTGTACAAGGTCACACAGTAGATCATTTGCAGAGCTGAGAACTGCGAGCAGTGTCCTGACACCTAGCTCAGCACCTTGTCCACTAGATGCAACGCACCACCTCACCTTTGATCTTTCTCTGATCATCTGACCTGCTACCAAAAAGAGCATTTTTCAAATTGCAATTAAAAGCTTCTCAGCTATTATGTGTGAAGTATATACAGCTTTGGATGAATCTGACCATAAAATATAAACCCAGGGGTATTGCAAATACAGCAGAAAGCAGGATTACTCTGTGGCCTTACCTGTCTTGCCAACGTTGCTGCCACCCAGTACAACGAGCTTGATGATTTTGTTGGGCACACAGTCCAAAACAGGATACTCTGGTATGGGAAGCAAGATGAAGTTAGCAGAATACTGTGACATAGTACTCTGAGAGGTGAGACGCATGCCAGAAACAAGAACTGATCAAGTCTAGTGGGAGTTGGGGGAGAAGAGAGGGAAAATAGCTTCTTTCCTTCTTTTGGCAGTCAATCCTTGGAAAAAGAAGTCCTCTCATTTCATTTAAGTAGCTTTGCAGAAGGATATGCGAGCAGCCGGCCTCCTCTTTCCAACGACTGCTCAGACAGCAGCTTTGCAAAGCAGAGGGAAACTTTTTGATCAACCCCAGTGAAAACTGACTCCTACATTCCTCGGCCAATCAGAAGTCAAAACATGACATTCCACTAGATGGGGTAGAAAGTGTGCGCCTCACATGAACCACACGCCCTCCCCTGCTTTATCTTTCTTCACTGCCTGTTTTACATGCTGGTCTGGAGCTCTTTGCTGAGAAGACATCCTTCTGTGTTTTCAGTCTTCATGGTGCTCGTTTCCAGCAAGATAGAGTCAGTGGTGTTTAGGCAATTTCCATTCAGGATAATTCTGCCTTGTCTGTTGAAACACCCTCTGGATTTTCAGCTGGATCCAGCGTTCTCTGTTGCTCTCGCAGACTGTTTTATCCAGATTGTGAGCTTGGATCCTTTAAAGCGGATGGACTCTTTTTTTGCATGGCAAGAAGTACTGAAGTGTAAATACCTAGGGTTGGTATCTTGCAAGTTTTCCAAGTGGAGCAGCTTTAGATCTTTATAAATTACTTGATCTAAAAAACAATAGGAATGCTTTTTTCATTCTTATCATCTAAGGACAGCCTCATTTTGCTGATAAAGATACTTTTTTAAGAGGCTCTAGTCCACGGTGGAACGTTGCAATGAGAACTTTGTCCCATTGGAATATAAGCCACTATTATGCTGTGGCCCAGCTATTTTTATGAAGATTTTAAAGTGAATTTAGTTGGACTACCAACCTTAGAATCAAAATGGGCCTAAGCATACCTGTATGCTGGTGCTGAGCCCAGACTGGGGGATGAGGAAGGAAGCAATGAACAAAGGAAGCCCAGTGCAGCTTGGGGAAGCCCAAACTTTCTGGCTACAAAGGTCTGTTTGGATGGTGATGGAGCCAAGAAATAGCCAGAGTGTGAGCCTACAGCAGCCACTAGCCTCTCCTGTCCCTGTAAGAGAAGAGGGGGCTAAAACCTGCTATGCCAGATCTATCTGCCAAAAAGGCCTCCAAGGCCAGGAGCATTCCCCAGCTTGCAGCTTCCTTCAGTCACAGCCTCAATATGAATTCTACCTAGAGCAGACTCAGGGGTGTGACTTTGGAGCAGAGTGCAAAATCAGGCCTCAGCCTTGGATGCTAGTGCTTTTCTCAGTGCAGTATGTGTCAGATTTCCAAAGGGCTCCCTTTCCACTGAGATGCTGCAATACACAGTCAGGTTTTCAAAAGCACTCAGCATGCCAGGGGCCTGCTGCATACAGAATTCTTGAAGATCCAGCTGTGGTTCACAGCGGTCCTATAAAGTAAGGACAGGAATGAAGAGATGCGTGGGCCAGGCACTTACCTCAGCTGAGCCTCAGTTTTTATGCTCTTAGTGACTTATTAAATAATATTTGCACTGAATTGCTATGCCAACACCACGTATTATTGTTTCTTAATCTGCCATTGACTAAATGCTCACCCACTCCAGATCTCTGACTGTGAATTTGCTTTCAGATCCTCACAAACCTCTAATTTCACAGGAAATTTTCCAACACAGTTGATTTAATTAGTCTAAGCTGGAAGTGTAGTGATACTCAGGCCAAAGGCACTAGGGCAGTCATTTATTTGTATGGAATACAGCAACCAAATGACAAAATGAGCCATAAACAATCTACAGACAACGTATAAACAATGGCGCTAAGAGATAAGGCTTGAGTGACAATTTTAGATTTGATATCCATAGCAAAGCATCATTAGTAGCCTGGTGCTGGTCTTTAATGCAACCATTAAAATGATAAATAGCACACTCCTCCATGATGTGTGCTATAGTTTGGATTTCACCACACTCACTAGGGCAGTGATTCTCAACCATGGTGCCACAGCACCTTGGAGGGCCTTAGGATCCTCTGAGGGTGGCCTGGGATACTATGTAATGTTAACACTGTTAAGGTGTGCAAATATGATGCACAAGATAAGCCCAGAATAAAGCAGAAATCCAGAGTGTCAAAAACATTCTCACCTGCTGTGGTTTTTCTGTGTTCTTTGCAACAAAATAATTTATCTGTTATTTTTCTCTAGTGAATAAAACAGTGAAAACTAAGAGCGGGCATTTTCTGAAGGGCACCTCGAGTCTAGCAAAGGGAGCCTCAAGTCTAAAAAGGCTGAGAACCACTGTACTAAGGGGAAAGGTCTGAATACTTTGATCAACTAATAAGTCTGTTTTAAAAGTCATATTGAGTCAAACAACTTTGATGACTATCTAGCAAAGCTCTCCTCATGTACCTGCTTTGAACTGGAATATGTGGGGACTTTTGGTTTCAGTAGCTATTGAAAGCATTTGCCAATGAATAATATAAACATATTTCTATTTCAGAATAAAAATGAAACAATGGAAATATGTTTATTTTTAAAACGTGGATGACCTAAATAAAAATGAAACAATAACTAGCTTTGCTAGTTAACTACAAGAGTCTCAAAATCTTGTTTTTTAATGTATTCTGTGTTTGACTCGATATGACTCAAACTTCCAAAACAGCATCAAGGGCAGGGAAATAGCCAAATATATAAGAATGTCACACGGAATATTGTACACAAGCAAAAGTGCTGGAAGAGATGAATATGCATCTATTTAAAGGAAGAAAGGACGACTGATACCAATAGATAGTGGCACAACTGCAACAGGTCTTGGAATGGAAATGCCAGTGGATATGACTAAAATGTTTCTTTTCCCCTTATTTCGCTTGTCCTGTTCTCTCACTTTATATAAGTCTCTGGAGGAAAGACATTTAAAAATAGACAGCAAAGACATCAAGACAAAATTATGCACATAAAAATAAATGTGGCTTTGCTATCTTTGTACAGTTGCGTAATAGCCCAGAATCTAGCCTGGAGTTCCTTTCTTCTGCTGCTACTCCATTTTTCTCAGGCTGGATTTTGGAGCTATACTGAGATATTTCTGTCATGTCTTCAAATAATATTTTGTTTCCTCTGCACTAGCACAAATATCTGACACACAGTACACTTACAATCTTATGTTTGTAATCAATAAAAGATCACACGCTGTACAACATCCTGCCTAGTTTGTTGACATTCAAACATTTTTTTAAAACCCCCGCACCTTTATTCTCTGTAGCTTTTAAGAGTTCAGTAGTCTCTCTCATTTCTTATTTTCTTTAAAAAAAAACAAAAAAAAAAACTGAGGTCAGATTTTAGGCTTACACTTTCTCAAAGAGTTCTTTTTAAGTGTAAAAGCCAGAAATTTTCTAAGCTTATCTGTTTGACTGCATAGACTGTCAAAATAGCCTTTCACTGAGGGAGAGCACGCAAAGGGATTCACACTATTTGGGTTTGTATAACTCTTGGCATGTGTAGTGAGAATTGTTTTTAAAAGGGATCATTATTGTTTGTGTACAATAGGCTTATATTTAGCAACAAAAACATGTTCTTCATTCAAATTTCTGTAAAAAAAAAACCCTAGTAGCTTCAATTAAGGGGAGAGTTTTTGCAAAATTAAGTTTGTCAAGCTGAAAACCTTTTTGGGAAAATTCTAGCAGTTTCACCCACCACCCACAGTGTTGTCTCAGTCCTTGTGTGTGCCTAATGAGAAGAGACTGCATGATTTGTTTCTGCACCAACTTTAAGACCAGTTTCATATATTAGTCTGTGTTGCTTTAGATTCTGGCTTTAAAGGTTTTTCTAGTAATATATTTCCATACAGCACCCTAAAAATAAAGGCATTTGGCATGTCTACAAGTGTCTTCTCCCTGTGTGTGTCAAAGTGCTTTTCAAGCTTGGATGAATTAATCCTCAAGCACTGTGTAAAGGAAGAGACTGATGAACAGAAAGGTGAAGTGACCTGCTTAGCATATGGCCAGTCGGTGTCAAGGCAAGAAGAAGGCCTTTGATCACGAGACTCCTGGTCTTACATTACAGTGACAGACTGTTCTTTCTCATCAGGAAGTTCATTTATAATGATCACTGTCATTATCACAAAATCTCTTGCCTGGTATATTGAGAGGGAGAGAAGCTTCTTGTTCTGGTCTATAGCTGGTGCCCTGACCAGAGTTGTGGCTGGCAGTTTGTGTACATCTCCCCTAACACCAAATACATTTAAAACAACAACAACAGAAGCTTACTCTTTGCAGCCTTGTTTAACTTCCTTTGTTCTTTGTCTCCGGCCGACCTGTGACCCCCAGGCTGGTTCTCACGCTATACAGAGCTGTTGCACTAAACAAAAGTGGCATTTTTGCCATCTCTCATTGTAGCTAAACATGATCGGGGCGGGAAAGGCAACCAAAAATAGTCTTGCAATAGATAAGAAAATGTTACAAGAGAACAATATTGCTCACAGTTTGTCCAAGAAACAAACCTTCCATTGTCTGGTTATCCTCCCCCCTTGCTGTGGGCAGAAACCTAGTGAAGAAAGCAATTATTTTATAGCAGGGGTGTCAAACTCACCTGTGGCCCCAGATTTTGGACCATGTGGCTCCTTGTGGGCCATATCCAGACTGCAATGAGATCTGGACCTGGCATCAGGAAAGCAGTGAACATGTAGCCCTTGCTCACCATACCCCACTCCTACTGCTAACACTTCATCACTGGGAATTTGGGCCCTGCTTCATCCTTCTCCCCATGAACTGATTGAAACAGGTCTGCAGGCTATATCTGGCTTGCAGGCCATATGCTTAACACTGCTGTTTTATACCAAACAATAGTGTGTGGCCAACCAGTTACGTCAAAGCAGCTCTCTGAGGGATGGACTTCCCCTATGACTCCAGGCTTCTGTCTGGAAAAAGCGATTCTGATCCTTTCTCAGGTGGCCAGATACTGCTGGAAGAGCCATAATAAATGTTTTTCTCAGGGTTATAATATATACCACAATGAATGAGTAGAAGGTTTTGCTCCAGCTCGCTATCTCCAGATTTTTAGTTTCTAATTTAGCTGCTTCACTGCCAGTGGGGACCACTGAAGGAGCACTGTGCATTTATTAGTTTTCACATTCAAGGCCTTTAGAGGCTCTCCCATGGGATCAAGCTGCAGATGACATGGCGAAGTGCTGTGTATACAAGGGCACATCTCTGCAGGCAAGCAGCCCACAGAGAACTGAAA